TAATTTTTTTCGAAAAAAATATTGCTGGTAATATTTTTTCCTCAAAAATATATAGCTGGTAATATTTTTTTATTTTTGTTTTTCTACAAAAATTAATTGCTGGAAAAAATTCTTTACAAAGTATTTCTGGTATTAAAACCTGTTTTTATACTTTCATAGTGTTTTTACCCCAGTTTCAGGCTTAACTATTTGCCCATAGCTGGGACCCTAACAGGTGCTACCACCATGGGTCAGGGCGGACCTGGGAACTAGCAATTAAGAGGTGGTTTCATGCTCCTCAAAACCTCCTGATCAGAGGCCTTGCTGTTGGACGTAGTTTATTGTCTTACCCAGGATGAGGATGTAGTTTATTGTCATACTCAGGATGGGCATCAGGCAGGAATAAGGAAGAATGCACAAAATCTTTGTACACTGTTCCTCAATCACACCTAATTTGTATGGAACTACCAATAGTGGAAATCAAGGTGTATGTGTATGAAGAGTTCTTATTACATTTTATGTTCTGTAATTTGTATGTTGTTTTACATTTTACTTTGAGCTCTTTAATTTTATAACATTGGCATTTTTGGCACATATTTCATATTTAATATATAATACTGTAATTGATATGTTCATTGAATTTAAAAGCAAGAATAAATTTAATTTTTCAGCATGAAATTTTTGCTCATAACACAAGCCAAGTAGTGTTGTAGCAGCAATTGTGTAGTCTGTATAAAAATGTAGATATTTTTTTAAAATCTCTTTGTACATCATCTAGGCATTTTCACAAGTAGACACTTTTCCATTTTGAATGCTTTCAAAATGTATAACATGTACTGCCTTTTCAAATTGACAGCATAAACCATATGTACTGCGGGTTGCTTCAAAGAATCTCTTAGTGATAAACCATAACATTTACCAAAGAACTGCTTGTCTGAACAAAAGGAAATTTTGGTGATTGGGACTTAGTTTTTCTCTTTATCACTTCTCAATTTAAAATCCAAAAATATCACTGATATATTGATTGACTGATTGGATTGTACCATTGTTCCAAATATGACAGGCTTTCAAAGATTGGTTTTTATAGCATGAAATCAATGCATCAGAAGTTAACTAGATCAAATTGACCCTAGGTATAAGTTACATCTCATAAAATTAAAAGAGAATTTTATTACCATTCACTGTTTCAGTGTTTACCCACACCAAAAATGTGTTTCAAGATTTATACTTCAGCAGCTATTAAGCCTTTTTTTCCTCTAACATGTATAGCCAAGAAAATGCCAAAGAATGTCATTGCTCATTCAGAGATTCAGTACATTTCAGTAACATTTATACAGATGTAATTCAAAACAACTTTGTCTAAAAGATATCATGAGAAATATCCTAAAAATGTTTAAGAAGCAGGTTTAGAATAAAAAATATATAAAAAGATAGCATTTATTGAAAATTTTTCATTTACCACATGGTTGACAAGAAGCAATATGTTTATACCCAATTGCCATAGAAAGTTTAGTAAGTGCCACATATTTCTTAAGTATTTTGTAACTTATAAGGATAATATTCATGGATATAAATTTAACCAATCAAAATTCTGTAATAAGATTGTATCACTCAGATATGCATTGTAATCATTCGATATATTAAAGAAATACGTTGTACAAGAGAATTTATTTCAAGGTTAACTTTTAAAATTTGAAAATAAGTTTTACAATCTCTCTTTGTCACATACCTAATTCATTGTCTTTTATTTATACAAAAATACTAAAACACCAAGCAATTTATGTCCTTTCACCAGCAGAAGCTTTGATCAATCATAAACAACTATCATTGATCTTGTAAGAAAACTTAAGAACACCATCATCAAACATAGGCTTTTTTTTCTTTTTATGTGCCACGTCCTTTCAGGACATAGGCAATCATGGCTCTCCACCATGCAGCTCTCAACAAGTTCCTTCCCTCTGCCACCTCCCCCAGACCATGTTCTGTCATCCACTTGCTTAAGGCCACTAGATATGTCATACATTATTTGCCCTTGTCTCTCTTTCCCTCTATTCGACCCGTGAGTATCAGATTCTCCAGACCCTCATTATGTGTCCCAAGAACTTTAGCTACTTCTAAGATTCCTCTACCACTTCTTCTATGGTGAACTCAGCTCCAACAAAACACTCTGCAACTGCTCTTTGCACCATTACAATGATCAACACAGACTATGAAGAAAAACAATGCCAGGAAATGTCAAGTGATAAACTGCAAATTCTGGCTGACTGTTTCAACAAGAATATTGAAAAAAAAAATGAAGAAAATCAAAGTATGTACCAAGCCCAAAAGAAAAGAAAGAAAATACTCAGAAATTAAAATAGCTGATTAAAACAAATTTGTTGTTTTAGAATGTTCATGCATTTATAAGAAGCGAAACATTCTTAGATAAATACATCAAAATTAGAATGCTTTGATAAGAAATTCCATTATTTACATGGCTAGATCTTGGATTTGAAATACATTTTATTTTAATAGGTGTTAGTTTCCAGAATTCCCTTCTATCTCCATTTTTGAAAATAGATATATCATCTGATATATATCATCCATTCCCTTCTACTCACAAGTACTATAGTAGGAGTTGATGAATAGCTAAATCAGCTATTGTTCTTTAATTTGTTGGAATAAGAAATACAGTGAAAGAATCTGATGAAATATCTGTAAGTAACGGTGCTGCAATCATCAACCATGTAAGGAAACAAAATTAAAACAAAAATATATGAAATTTTGAATAAATTAAAGAAAATTAGCCTCATATATCATCGTTGCAACATTCTGTTATGGACATATGACTAGCTGGGAGTAAAATTTCTATGTTGATTTTAAATTAAAGACAAGAAAGATAAAGTGGATAATATCTTAGAAAAATTGTCAGCTTTAAATAACAAATTCTGTTTCTCATTTCTTAGCTTTTTGAGAAGAAATGTAAAATGTAGTTATATTGATGCTGAAAGAAACATTGAAAATCTATTGAACTTAACCACTTTATGATATTTCTTACATAATCTGCCAATCATATGAAATGTTATTAGTAGCATTACAAATTTATCAAAAATGTATTAATATTTGTTTATATTTCTGAGATGAGGTATTATGTACACTATTTACAATATTCAGACTATTGTCCTCATCTTTACCATATTTATCACAACGTTTCGGCTGTTGTATGCACCGGCCTTTTTCAGGTGGTTGGAATGTCGAACTGAACCCTCTATTTCGCTCACTGGGGTAGACTGTTCTAGTTCCACGTGCCATGTCAGTTATCAGTTATCAGATATCTCCTGTTCATTTCCCTCTCCAAGTTCTCTACCGCCTTAACCAGGTATTGAACTCACAACTCTTTGGGTCCTGTTACTGGATCTAACTAACACCTTTATCCACTGTGCCATGTGTTCTTTAGGATATCTGTGTATGAATTTCTGGGTATTATAGACCTGATAAATATGGCAACAAAGATGAGGACAATAGTCCGAATATTGTAAATAGTGTATTAAGATTTACTTATTAGGGAAGCTGAAAAAAAATATACATATTACTTATTAGACTGAACAATTAGATTTACTACATCCACCAGCAAGACCTCTGATTGGCAGATTGAAGATTTTGGGCAGCGTGGTACCACCTCTTAATAGCTGTTTATTCCCAGGTTCAACCTGGCTTGGGGTGGTAGCACCTGTTTAGGTTCCATAAGGACAATGAACACCAAAATTAAAACAAAACACTATGAAAGTATAAAAATGCATTTTTATAGTAAAAATACCAACAACTATTTATAGTTAAAACTTCCTAAAATATTACTGAATGAAAATCCTATTTTCAGCATTCAATGACCCATGAGTGTTGATATGCTGGTAAAACAGCCAAACCTGTTTATAGTAAAATTACCAACAATACCTATTTATAGTAAAATTATCAATAATACATATTTAAAGCAAAATGACTAGCAATACATTTTATAGTAGAATTATCAATGATACATTTTACCTGTAGCTGAAAGCATGCAATTGTATTCAAAATGTTTAGATTTTGGTATTAAATTGAAGTTGATATGCCACTAAACAAAATCAACCAACAACTAAATTTGAAATATTCTTTTTATATTATAAACACAAGCTAAAAAATTTGAGGTTAATGACTCAGAACTGAAAAGATTGAAAATATTGAAATTCTGACATTGTTTTGTGAATTCTTTGAAGTGATATCTTTTGATGTTTCTGTTAAGTTTTGGCTGGTACTCTCTTCAGTTTTCCTCATCTGGTTATATTCAAAGATCTTCATTACAATAATTTTTTGCTTTGCTTGCTTTCACTTCTATAACCAGGATAGTTCATTAATCAGACAGACAGGTTTAAGCTTCACATATTTGGATCTGTAAACTATTCTGGTTACAATTGACAAAGAGTGGAGTCTTACCAAAGTTCCTTGACGATTACAGGATGTGATATATTTGTATTTTCAAGAAACATTAGTCTATTCACTAACCAAACTATCATTTAAAAATCCTTGTAGCTATTTTTAGAATGATTTGCAAAAAAATGAGAGAGTACATCTCAATTTTGTGTGGATCACATTTTATCTTTTAAAAGTCCTTGAAACTAGTTTTATTAAATCAGGACAACTATCCTTATGCAAACAAAAGGAATGGTTGTTAGGACTTAGTGTGATCTATTTATAGACCTGAATGTATTTTCTTTGTCATGTTTTCCTTTTTAGTCGCTGTACAAAATATCTAACTTTTTTCATTTGAGTTCTGACAATTGAGGATTGATAACCAGTTAGCTTATTTTGTTGGATTTTGTTTTGTTTTTTTTCTTTTAACTTTTTTCTATTTTCCTATTACCAACAACAGTGGTTGTTGTTTTTCCTTTTGTCTCCTTTAACTATGACTGTTTTTATTGCCTTAATTAAATTTTGCACCTTTAATAAGATCTTCAAAAATAAACTGTTGGCAAAAGACCTAATCTAAACAAGATGCAGGCTTAAAGTTGAAGCACCAATTCTCATACAATCACGAAAATTAAGCAACATTGAGCTTGGTCAGTACTTAGATAGGTGACCACTTGGGAATACCAGGTGCTGCAAGCTTGATGTGCAGGTGGATAATGGCCGAGTTTCAATTCCAGTTGGGTTCATTGTATTCATTTATGTGCAAATACCCTTAAGAAAGGTATGAATCCACCTTTTCTTCTCCCAGCTTTGGTTCAATTAGTAGGAATTTTATCAGTAAATCATTAATATCTCCAGAGAATTCTTACAATCAAAAAATATTTTCTGGTTTTACATAACCTGCAAAAGGTTGATAAGCTGTAAATAACAAATGAATCTAACCTTAAGATGAATGTATCAAAGTCAATATTGCAGATTGGGGAGGTCAAAAGTTCAATCAATTTGATCAGTCCATTATCTAAAACCAAAAATAAAAAGAAATGAAAAATACAAACTCCATCTGAAAGTAATGGCAAACCAATACATTAAAAGTGGTCAAGAATTCATGCTAATGTATGTCTTCAAAAGAAAATACTTTGATTCAGCATCACTGAAAATGTATTTCTCACCATAAATAAGTAATTATATAATATAGGGTGCTGAAATTCTTTTGGACTAACCAAGAAGGTATACTAAAATAAATTACAAATTTTTATCATTTTGTCAGATTTTATCAAATGGATTGGACTAAAACTTTTTCAGCACCCCTTCATAAAGTTCAGTTTGTGTGTATGTATTTGCTCAAGATCTTGCAAATTAATTAAAAATGTATCAAATGAATGCAATTTTATTATCTTCAAGTATGTATCTTATAACTTGCCAATTTAGTTGGGTATGATTGCTACTATGCAGCACAAAATTATCCTTATGGTACAATCAAATTCATTTAAAATAATATTACTCACTTTGCAAATATTGAAACATGTTTATGTGTGTGTGTATATATATATATATATATATAAGATAGAATATGATCTTACATGTTGAATAAATACTTATAATACATTACATTTCAGAAATTTTTTGTTAAATACAATATCATTACAAACACAACATTAAAGAATCTCCTCCCAGAAGAAGAAAAAACTTGAAGCAACAGAAATGTGGTTTTTACAGAAGGATGCTGAGAATACACCATGGACCGAAAATGTGTGTAACGACAAAATTTTAGAGAAAATGGAAACAAAAAGGAAACTTATTCTTAACATTAGTCGAAATTACTAGGGCACATAATGAACAAAGAGGGCTTGGAAAATTTGATACTCACAAGGCATATTGATGACAAGAGGGACAGAGGAAAACAATGCATAACCTACATGATGAGCTTGACAGAATAAATTGCCAAACCAGTTTTAGGAGAGATTGCAAAAAGATAAAATTTATTAAGCGCTACAAATGACAGTAGTTGTGTAGAGCCATGATTGTCAGCATCTTGAAGGGATATAGAAGAAGTAGAAGCATAAAATTATTTTTATCCAAGGAAATTATTTTATTTATGAAATACATAAAATATATAATAATTGTATGATTATGATGAAGTAGTCTATCAGGATGTATCAGTGAGTTGTAAATCCTTAGAAGTATGTAAATTTACTGTAAGAAACATGCATATTGTTCAGTTGAAGCCAGGTATTAGCATGAAGAAAGTGAAAAAAGTTATCTGTGGATTTAAAACAATGAATTGTGAATGCTTTCAATTCAGGAACAAGTTTTTCAGTACACAAATTGACTTTGCAATATATCATGGAAGAATATCTTTGGCCAAAAACCATTGCAACTTTTCAAAGAAAGGTCTCTAACTTTAAACACTCAAAGATTGCAAAGAAAGATTGCCTGTGAATTCAAGAAGAACCCTAAAGTTGAGCTAAAATATATTGTTTCTAATTTGTCAAATAATGGAGTAAATATGTTACATTGCACAGTGTATTCAATAAACATGTTCTCAGTACTTACTATCCAAGAAAAGCACATTTACTCAAAAATCATGATTGCAGGGCTCAATTAGAATTTACACATACCAACTTAGATAAAAAATAATGACTCAGTTTTATTGGATGATGATAGAAAAATTGAATTGTTTGGTTGAAATCAGACACAGCAAATTTGTAGGAAAAGAGGAGAAACCACAAAACCTAAAAACGCCAGGGTTAATTTTGGATAATTTTCTTCTTGCTTATTTTGTTCCACTTATGTTCATAATGTTACCATATTAAATAAAAAGTTTCTTAAATGGATTAAGAGTATTTATGCTATGCCTAAGATCATATTCTTAATTATATATATATATATATATATATGTTTGAATATTTTAAAAATTAGTTATTTTAAATTAAATTGATTGTACTGTATGAGAATTTTGCACTTCACTATGTATGACACACACAAACACACACACATCTTTATTCATCGATAGTGAAATCCGTAAATGATAGTATCCAAATTGGTTTTACTATATATTTTTGTCTATTTAGTGATAAAGGTGACACAACCGTTCCCCACCACTACCATGCATTTACTAATTGACTTAAATAGTAAACCAATTATAAAAATTGAAATGCAACAATAACATTTCAATTTACACTATTTATATCGTTCAGTCTTTTGTCTTTATCTTTATTGCTATATTCATGACGTTTCGGCCGTTATATACTCTGACCTTCTTCAGGTGATATAGATTGGAATTTCAGACTGAACCCTTTATTTAGTTCATGGTGGTAGACTGTCCTAATTCCATATGCAATGCCTTTTTTGGATATTTTAGTTTCAGTTAATTCCCTTTAGTAGCTCAACTCTCCAAGATTTTGTTCCTTCTGCTGTGTCCAGGTATTGAACTCAAAACTCTTTGGATCAAGTCACTTTTTGGATGACTTCAACAAATTTTTTTATTTGCTGGGCCATGAAGAAGGTTGGAGCATACATCAATGGATTAAAGTTTTATATTTCCATTTATTTATAATTAATTTGATCTTTTTCTCTCAAGATCTGATGACTTTCAAAGTTTTTGTTTTAATACACTGTCAAACTTTATTTTACTAAATTTGGTTTCAGCCAATTAATGTTAGTAAAATTTTCAGATATACTTATATGAGCAATATAATGTGAATTTCAATTCATAATTTATATTCTTATTAAAATTATTGGTCATAACTTGGGTATGTCAGGTTTTCTTATGCAAACAAATTGCAACATAACTTTCTCTTCATGAATAAATTCAAAAGATATAGGCCATAGAAAAGTTCATTTGGTTAGTACAATATCCTATATATACAAATACATTATTTTACATGTTAATCTTTGACATTCTATAACCTTCATCAGTCTTTCAGGCATTGATTTTATTAATGTGAATGCTTGTTTGTCATATTTATAAATGTTGTATGTACAAAACACATAATATGTATCTAAGTTTATATTCTACTTGGTAATATGTCAAATTTTTTTGCCTCATTTATTTTGTTCTAATTTCCATTTCTTATCTTATTTACCTTTTTAATTACAAATACTGACACATAAGTGCATCTGACCTTTTAAAATCTGCTTTCTCAATGTATTTCTACTTTCCATATCTCTAAGCACTTTATTCATTACAGTTGTTGCCATGCTTTACATACCAGGTATCATCCTTAAGAGCTTTTATCAGTCACCTTACCTTTTTTTTTTTCATTCATATTTTTTATAACTTATTTTTTACTCTTCTGTAAAGAAATTTCTTCTATTGTTTTCTCAAACTTATTTCTTTCTTTTCCAAAACCTTGTACCATGTAAATTTCTTAAACGTCTATCTTGTATTTTATCAGTTATCACTGCTATTGCCAGTAGTCATTTTCTCTTCTCTAAGTGCCTCCTATTAATAACTCTTTTAATTGGTCTAGATAACCCAATATTCTAAAATTGCTTTACCTCTAAGCTCTTTTTGGCTCTCTGATATCCAGTTCTGGGCTTTATTTTTGTCACTGATACTTTAGAATTTCTGTATTTTTGTCTACTAGATCATAGAAAATAACCATTTCTTATTTTAAGGATTGTATAATTGGTATTTTATCCACTTGATTCCATGAAATATTTATTTTTATATTACCTAAGCCTTTTTTTTTTTTTTTACAGGAAACCATTGTTCAGTCTACTTTTATACTTTTAACTTGCTACATTTCCAGTATTCATTTCTGACTTATGGAATACTCATAGATTTGGCTCAATACCAAAACCAATTGCGTATGTGCTGAGTTAATAATGCTTATTACTTGATATTGGATTGGTTATCACATTTGTTCTGCTTTTGCCATTAGATGGCCTTAAGAGCATTTAAACTAAATTTTAAAAAAATATCAAAATTGATGTATTTTTGTTTATTGATTCTAACATTGAAAAAATAAGCAATACTTTTGACAAGCTTTTTTTTATATTTTAAGAAAGCTAAAAATGTGGCTCAGATGCAGTAAGGATTTGTGAAGGTTTATGAAGAATGTATTCTGAATGATAAGGCATCTGAAATGCAGTTTGTGAACTTTTCTACTGGAAGTTTATTTCTGTAAGATCTTCTATTGTCATGCAGATTAGTTACAGTTGATAACAGTTACATAAGATAAATCGATATTAACATATAACATTATATGAAATTAAAATATAGACAAAATATTCAAATGAAATGTTGAAAAACCATTTGCACCAGCTTGGTTATGTTAGTTGCTTTGATTTGTGGCTTCTATATCAGCAATGAAGCATATTGGACTATATTTCTGTATGTTATCCTGCTTAAATATAATGAAAATGTTAATTTTTTTTTTTTTTTTTTTTTTTTGAAACCATCATTATGTATTTTACAATAATATGAAATGCCAGATATCATGAGATAAGCAAAATAAACCAACACTAATTGCCCCAATCTCTGGTCCTCCTCTAAAAGAGGGTGACTGTGTACATAGTGGAATAGGAAGGGAGTCTTCTACTATAACATATATGAAACGATGGAAGACAACAATAGACAACTGAGTAAAAAAAAAATATATTGCAAAATTTATTTTTGTTAGAAAAAATACAATGCTCTAGTCAAAAAATATCTCTGCATGTTCATGTGGAGAGTGTTGTCCTAAGAAGGACA